TCAGTTGTTTCCCCACTTTTTTCCTGTTTCAAAATCAAACACCAGTTTGTGAGAAGATTATCTTCTTTTTTTTAAATAGGCAGATAAAGTTTTACATTGGAACTGGCTAATTTGTCAATTGTTTGTTACAAATGTTCGTATTTTAATATTCAAAAATGTTTTTGCCCAAAACATATGTGCACTATATGTCAGTAAAAATACTATGCAAATATTGCTGACCTATGCTGAGTAAACACTAACAAAGCACTGATTGTATCTCTTGTACTTTATCAACGCAGTATCTAAAAACTTTGCACCGTAGTGGTTAAAATCTCATTCTAATAAGAGTTAAAAGCGCATTCAGTTATTAGGTTTATAGGATTATTGAATTATGGTTAACGGTTGGTAGAATTTTTTTTTAAACATTATCTGCCAATTACATCTGCCACCCTTCTCCAAATCTGTGCCCCTACCTTGCCCCCCCAACAAAACTTTTCTAGACACGCCACTGATTGTATGGACTGATAACAGCCGAAGCGGGTGAATAAAGTCACCCAGTCGCTAGCTGTGCCATTACCCAGCATACACCACTCCCTTCATAAATGCAATAAACGATACAAAAGTAATAGCCTATAATTAATTTATCTGCTGTATCTGCTGTTTCTCAGGTAGTTGTTTACATTATATAATTTATTGTATTCTGTATACGTCACTACAATGTGATTTTGGAAATATATATACAGACAACAGGCTCTTCCGCAGCAATCTCTTGTTGTCAATAAGCAACATTTAGGGAGCTCTATAGTATTCAATGAGAGGAGAGAGGACCCTGCACGTCAATTCTCAACGCGAGGGGGGTACCCTGCGCGTCGATAAGTGAAGCAGAGGGAGCCTGACCATGCGTCACGCATTTGACGAGTTGGGAGTGAGAACGTGTTGCAATTAAAGGAGTTGAACTGACTAACAAATCTCAGTCACCTAAACTAAGACGAAAGTTTAGACAACATGTGATTTTTCATTAAGATAACAATTGGTTGTGTTACAAGAACAAACTCTATTTCTTGACTTAACTTAAAAATTTAAGGCAGCCCTATTTTTAAGTTGAAACAACAAGTTATGTTTTAAAGTGTAGGAAGGCAGCAATCCAAATACAAAAAATTACTGTTGATATCCCAGAATAGGACAAGTTCAAATCATTTGCACACATAATGACTCGTTTGCACGCATGATAAATGGTGTTGGTGGTGCAAGACGTCATTGGTTTTGAGGAAAATTAGGCCACGTCTAGTCAAACTAGTGTGCAAATCACTTGTATGTACTCCAGGATATCTACAGCAGCTTTTTGCCTATCCAAATAAGAAACTTCTTTATTCTAAAAAAAACCAAACAAACAAAAAACAACCTTGGTGTGTGCCACTTGTGCCACAACTCTCTGGTATCTGCATTAATTTCAACACTTTCTGTAGCATTTCCAACTCTACACATCTAAATTCAAATCCCTTGGATGAGTGACAAAACGTTTCTCCCACTGAAAACGCTACATTCAGATGAACAGAATCCACCTTTTGGAATTTTCCTACCTGGATGACTCAGCATGCATCAAGACAACTCTGTTGTGACTTAATGTCACACTGAAGGGGTTTATTATTGTCATGTCCAGGAAATAAAGTGTTTCAATCAACTATATGGTCACAGGGGTATAAAACCAAGCGCCTAGACATTTAGACTTATCCTACAAACATTTATGAGACCAGATCACCTTTGTTATGAACTGACTTTGAGACCTATCCCCTCCATCACAGACGCACACTGCAGTACCAGTCTCTGTGGCCAGACAGTGGCTCAGAGTTTTTGTTTAGGATAACCAGGTGTGGCATTAACCCGACCCAACGATGTTCAAAACACTCGTTAACACCTTTTATTGCACACTTTTTTCACACTGTTGCCGTTCAGCTTTCCAGCTGCCAGCCACACACCACCACCACCAATAATAATAATAATAATAATAATAATAATAATAATAGCAGAGAGAGCACAGACTTTAAGCCGGTGAGGCGTAATTGACGATGCCACTGCAGGTGCATCCATCACCCCTGCAGCAGCACCGCAGACCACACCCTGTTATACCAGGTTTCATATTTGCATGGGCAAACAGCTTCTTTGATTCCCTGAAATATGAAGTACAAATGATTTGGGAACATGATGTCCTCCATCTCCTTTTTCCAGCCACATTAAAGTCAATGTCCTGTTCCACCCACTGCACACACCCAAAGCAAACAACCTCGTGCAAACAGAACACACCATATTTAGTCAGAAGAAAAATTAAGCTTAAACCACTTGCTGAACACAGGCCATCTGATTGCCTGATATCATACCAATAATCTCAATCTAATATTCTCTATCAGTCAATATTTTCTTTGTAATCCTCCTTTTCTCTATTTTTTTTGCTCCATGTTATCGTTTCTGTTGAGAGAATTCACCTTTTGGGACCTTCAATGGGAACTCCATTTTGTGTTTACTTGTATTATTTTTTGTCTAATGTTTTTATTTGTTTGCTGTTCTGAAACACTGAAGGGTGACAAACACAAAAAAGTAAGAAATCGGGAAGGGGGAGCACTTTTTCACACCACGATATGTTGGTCCTGCAATGCAAATTTTTGGTGGCTTTAGGGTAAAAAAATCTTATGTAAAAAATAAAAAATTTGCTTGCACTTTGGATTTATTGAACAGTATACAATATCAAATACATGCATTCTTTTAGAATCAGTACAGATAAGGAAGCAAGAAAACTAAATATTATAAAAGCTGCATCACAATGTGGAGGAGTAAAAATCCAGATGTGTGACTCCAACAGGAAGCAAAATAAACAATCTGACCACTAGTGAGCTTTATTAATTGATAAATTGTCAAGAGAGCTTCTATAAATCCTTGTCGAGGAGGAGATATTATTATAGCAGTATAATAATCAAAACATATGTGTGGCTCTAACAGTTTGTTATGCCAAAATAAAAAAATATAAAAATGAAAAGAACACTTATAATTAACATTTAAATGCTCTATGCCACAAGCCTAGTTTTTATAACCTAGTTCTTCAACAACTGTCTGTCACTATAAATTATGAGATGTAAATATCTTTATTTCACAAAGGAGAGTTCAGTTATCCTAATCCTGTATACTGAAGGAGGTAAAAAAAAGGAAGCACTGAAGTACCTTTCCTGAGCATTTTTAAAAATCAGTCAGCTTTTATAACGACATTACTGAAATAAGATTACAGGAAACATGAAAGTAAATGCTAAACATGAATGAACTGTTTCAGGAAGAAAATACAGGAAAGCATTATCAGGGGAGGAAACCCGAGATAATTAATCAAGACAAAAATCAAAACAGGAATTCAACAATATGCACAGAAATGCTTAAAATGTTAAACACCTAAAATAACAACAATAAAACAACCCTGAACCTAACCCCAAACTGTAATATATTGACAAATAATTCCAAAGCCAGAAAGAGCAAAATGGCAGGGAGATGACTGAAGTAGCTGCTGATTTCCTACAACTTTACTTACACCTAGTCTTTTGGTTTCTTTGTTAGAGTTCTGTTTTCTGCGTTCCTTAGTTGCTCTGTCTCCCCTGTCTGCTGTATCCCCTTGTCAAGTCTGCGTCTCTGTGTTATGATTCCTGTTTTACTTTGAAGTCCATGTCTCAGGTTAATGTATCCGGTTTTGCTTCCCCTGTCTCGTTAGCCCTGATTTGCCCCAGCTGTGTTTCCCTTCTGTCTCTAATCCCCTGATTGCTCCCTCTGTGTATTTAAGCCCTGTGTTTTCCTGTTTGCAATCTACTATGCTGTGTGTTCTGCTTGTTTATGCTTAGGTCATGTTTTCCAGTTTAGTTAGTTTTTTGTTCTTTTTTGCTATCCAGCAATAAAGTTGAGTTTAAGTTTGTCTCAGAGTGTCTGCACATTGGGTCCTTCTTGCCACCATTCCTGCCTGCACATCAGCCTTCACATAACAGCACAAAGAGTTCATGATCAAAGCCCTCAGAACAATTTGTGAGATTTCAATATTTACCCAGTATGGTTATTTTTTAAATCTTGACCACCATAAAGTTCATCATAATGTTTCTTCACCACCTCAAGATGTCCTGAAACATCTAAAAACAAAGCATTTGTATTTATTATACTTGTATTGTTACCATTTGTATTGAGAGGATTCCTAATGCTAACATAAATACTTTACTATATATTTTTGTTTACCTGGCAGTAAGCAGGCCTCAGTCTTGAGTGAGTGTTTAATGGATTTCTTCATGGTTTCCTCCAGTGTCATCAGGACAGTTTCCTAATTTATCATCAAAAACTTTGTTACTTTTTACAGAGGCAACTATTGAATCCAAAAATGACTGGACAAGAGACAAACTTTTGGTTTGATATGTGCTTCAAGACTAATTGGGCATTTTTGTACATACGTAACAAACCTTCAAATCGTTCAACTGCTTCAGCATGACATTTTTTGTCTCTTCAAACATGTACTTCTTTGACTCCACATGTCTCTCAATAGTGTCCCTCATGTTCTTCAGGGTGCCTTTTCCTGTAAATGCTGCTGCTTCTACAAGGACACAACAATTGTCATGCACAGTTGAATAGAAATACCTTAATTCATATCTTTCTTACCTTTATAGCATTCTTTCATGTCATTCTTGATTGTCTCTGTCAAACTGTTGTAGATGAATTTCTTTTGTGTGAGGATGGTTTTGTTGAGCTTTGTCTTCACTTTTTTTTCCTTAGAAACATGAAATATGCATTAACATTATTGAAAAGATGATTTTCTAATAACAGATAAGCTAACAAGTTAATGATTAGGGAAGTTCTTTTACCTCTGTCTTCAGAAATGTCAGTTGCAGTTCGACATTTTTGTACTTTTCAATCAATGAATCAGTGCTGAGTGAAAACGCATCAATGGCCCCATTGAAATTTCCACATTTTAGGTTGTTTCTGAATGTGGCAAAAATAATGGCAGTGTTAGCAAGCTTATAATACAGTGCGATTTGTATACATGTATTGTTGTGCATATTGGTGCTCTTCAGAATTAGATTATTCTCACGGGAAGGTCTTTCTGAATTCTTTATCAATGCTTTCAGTCAAACAAGACGCTAATATCATGTTGAGGTCTTTTTGTTTCCCTCTTTTTGGTTTCTGGATGCCATCATTCCTAACTGCAAACTTTAGTGTCATGTGAAAAGCTCCGCCACTCGTTTTCTGAAACAAAACAGAATTTCTATTTCATTTTTTAAACACATGGTTACAAAGTGTCCTGAGGTTTTGATCTAACTGTAATTAAAATACATACACTGGGGTATAAGAAGGACTTCAGGTTTTTGTCACATAAATTTAGAGATTTTTCAACCCCCTCACTTAGGCGTTGTTCAAAAGCTTTTGTAATTTTTTCAATTGCTTTTCTAACATCATTAAGTTGGATGCTTAATTTTCCCTCAAGGAGGTCATACAGATCATTTTGTTGTTCAACCTGAAATAAAAGAAAGATCATTACTTAAAGCAGTAAAACAAAACATTGTTCTTTACTCATTTTTGAGGGGGGTTTGGATAAGTTCAGTCAGATAAGTCTGTCATCATTCGTCTGCCGCTGTCTAGTCTTTATATCAGTTCTATTTTCCCACACTATTGACCTCATTACTCTAGTCCAATCATTTTTTTTGCCTTCTGCAGGTCAATCAGCTTCTGTTCTCTGTGCTTTTATCTGCTCTTCTGTCATTCTGCCTTTCAGACTTTCATTCATGCAACTCGCCTCCTGTCCATCTTCACCTCAACCTTAACTCAGAGCCCAATCCAAACTACCATCTTCACTATGCCAAGAAACTAGACTCTTGGGGTCCTGTCCTAACTCCCATCATTTCTGTGCCCTCATTGGTTGACTGGAGTCTAATTGGTAAATAAATATTTCATCAAATTCTGTTTCTCAATAAACACTATTCAGTTCTTCCAAATCATCTCTCCTTATTCAGTCACTATTAATAAATTATCACATAGATTTATGATGTCCAGCATCCCACATTTTCAGTGAATGTGAGGATACCTTACAATACATTAATACACATTAGTGGCTATGAACATTTTTATTTTATGACCTTTAAGAAGATTATAAATGAGGCTTTATTGCCTGATCTCACCACTTCTCTGCTTCTGGCTCCTTGAATCAAAGACAGAATCCCATGAGCTCCAGACACATAGCTTAATGTCTCTGAACGAGCGTCATTCAGATTTTTCAACATTTCCTTAAGTTTTGGTATTTCTGTAAAAAAAATTGAAAAGAAATATAAATCTGAGCAATACATTTTCTGTCGCTGTATGTTAATTCATAAAGTGACTTCACCTACCATTGACATCTGGATTTACATTCTCCCCTTTGTGGAACTCTTTTGAGCTCACTGTGAAGACTTGGAAACAATCCTCACTGAAGTGATCCTGAGAACATTTTTGTTAGTCAGTTTTTACTTTTCAGGCAGTTTTAGAAGATATGTTTTAGATTTTGCTGTCAGATTAAAAATTGACCTTAATTAATTTCCGCTTTTTGAATTCCTTCATCACTGCATTCTTGACTTTGTTTCTTTTAGAAAGGAAATAAAAATTGGATGCAAAATTATTTTATTGTTACTGTAATGCAAAATTCAGATTATTCTCATTTAAGGTGTAAGCATTTATGTGCATAGTTGTGGCACTGTAATGGAAACTTCCACCGAACAGTCTAAAACTAGATGAACTTATTTCAGCCTCAGTAGTTGAAGAACACAACTCCCTTTGCAGGTGCAGATAATGCCAAGAGCACCCAACAACATACCCATTGTTCAGTTAGGTTTCATAGCGAGCTGCGTGATGTGTGGTATGATCAGTTTGTAACTTCCTGCATTTTCTTGAGAATACATAAAGGAGCAAGAGCTCCACTTCTGTTTCAGGGACTGCATAACGGCGCCTTGTCGTGTGTACTCTCTCATGCATATGATAATAAAGAGTGTTGATTGTAGCCAACTGTGTCTGCAGACTTTGTTAATTAAATATTCACCACAGTATTTATCTAATTAGAAACTTATTAAAACAGATATACATAAATTTTTAAATTTATAATTGTAAACATATTTTTAAGAATAATATTCATCATATATCATGATATTAGGAGTTATATCTGATAGAATGTAATATTAATAATGTCTAATAATGTTGTATTAGATAAAAAGAAGTAATTGTTGGGTCTGTGTTTCCACAAGCTAGTTCTAGAGACTTATTCAACATGAAGAAAACAAGACAGTCAGCGATCGATCGATTTTCCTTGCAAGGGAGGCCTCGTCTGTGT